CTAACCCATTGGCCTTTCTTCCTTGCTCCTTTCAGACTACTTTGTAAGGAGAGAAAACTCCTTCAAGAGCATATAAAGGGTACCCCACCCTGTGTTCTGTGGATGTTGTCATCGTGAACAGATGTTGAGTAATAGCCAGGGAAAGTCACGCTAGGATGCTTCCGCATCACCTGTTAGGAACACCCAGATACATGAAAGGGCAAGTGAATGCTCTCTGGACAGAGTCCACGTGCACAAAGACACAGAGGTGCAATGAAGCACATAGAATGAGCCACAAGACCAGCCCAGACCCTGAGCTTCTTCCATTTGGTTTTAGGGATGAGTCATCTGGGAAGGAAATTGATTGGGAAGTAGATTGAGGATAGCTGTTCCTGTGTTCTTTTTTTTTTTTTAAATTTTTATTTTTGTTTAAAATATTACAAATGTCCCTCTTTCTCCCCGAATGACCCATTCCACCCCTTCCCACCCCTCTCCCCAGTCCCTCTCCCCATCATTGTCCATGTCCTTGGGTTGTGCATATATGCATATAAATTCTTTGGTTACGCTCTCCCCCTCCACCCACCCACCCTCCTCCATCCCTCTGACATTCCTCAGTCTGATTTATGCTTCCATGTCATTGAATCTATTCTGTTCATCAGTTTATTAAGTTCTTTAGATTCCACATATAAATGAGATCATGTGATATTTGTCTTTCTCTACCTGGCTTATTTCACTTAGCATAATATTCTCCAGGTCCATCCATACCATCCCAAAGGGTACGAGATCCTTCTTCTTTACAGCTGTGTAGTGCTCCATGGTGTGGATGTCCCACAGCTTTTTATCCACTCAGCTACTGCTGGGCACTTGGGCTGTTTCCAGATCTTAGCTATTGTAAACTGCGCTGCTATGAACATAGGGGTACATATATTCTTTCTGATGAGTGTTTCAGGATTCTTAGGATATATTCCTAGAAGTGGGATCACTGGGTCAAAAAGCAACTCTATTTTTAATTTTTTGAGGAACCTCCATACGGTTTTCCATAGTGGCTGCCCCAGTCTGCATTCCCACCAGCAGTGGACTAGGGTTCCTCTTTCTCCACGCCCTCGCCAGCAGGAGTCGTTTGTTGATTTGTTGATGGTAGCCATTCTCACAAGTGTGAACTGATACCTCATTGTGGTTTTAATTAATCTTTTAAATTTTAATACTTCTAATAGTATCTCACTGTTTTTAATTTGCATCTCTTTAATGACTAATGATGTTGAACGTATTTTCATGTACTTACTGGACATTCATATGTCATCCTGTGTATATTCCTGCTTGTCTTTTGTTTTGGTTTTTCATTAACTTATTTGTCTCTTTACTATTGAGTTGGAGGAATTATCCATATATTTTATATTGACATTCTTCGTTAGATATGTGTATTATAACTATTTTCTTTGAGTCTGTGGCTTGTCTATTTATTTTCCTAGTATAGTCTTTTGGTGAGCAAACAATCTAATTTTATAAGCCTACTTTCAACCCAAATGCCCAACAATAGATGAGTGGATAAAAAAGCTGTGGTACATTTACACAATGGAATACTACTTGGCCGTAAAAAAGAAGAAAATCTTACTTTTTTTCCCTTTGCTTTTCAGAGAGAGTGGAAGAGAGGGAGGGAGGGGGAGAGAGAGAGAGAACACAAGAAACATTGATGTGAGAGAGACACATTGACTGCTTGTCTCCCACACGTGCCCCAACAAGGGGTGGGGAGTGAACTGGCAACCCAGGTATGTGCCCTTGACTGGGAATCGAGCCTGTGACCCTTTGGTACCTGGTCCAACCACTGAGCCACACTGACCAGGGTGGAAATCTTACTTTTTGTTACGGACGGATGGACCTGGAGAGTATTGTGCTATGTGAAATAAAGACAAGTACCATATGATTTCACTTATATTTGGAATCTAATAAACAAAATAAATTAACAAGCAAAATAGAAATAGACTCATAGATACAGAGAACAGATTGACAGCTATCAGAGGGGAGGGAGGTTGGGAGGCTGGGTGAAAAAGGTGAGGGATTAAGCAAAAACAAGCTCATAGATTTAGCATACGGTGATTACCAAAGGGAAAGGAATGTGGGGGAAGGTAGAAGAGGGTAAAGGGGAGATAAATGATGATATAAGGAGACTTGACTCTGGGTGGTAAACACACAGTACAATATACAGATGGTGTATTAACCAATGTCACTCCAATAAATTCAATAAAAATTTTTAAAAAATTGATAAAATTAAAAAAATTTTTTTTTACCTATTCTAAATTCATGAACATATTGTCCTATTTTTTTCCCCCTCAAAGCTTTTTTATCTTTTACCTGCATATCTGTGAACTATGCTGAATTAACTTGTGTGTATTGTGAGGTATAAATGAGGTTCTTTCTTTTCATGGGGATATTCAGGTGTTGCCATACCACTTAGGAAGAGACTGTTTGGTTTACCCATTAGATTTTACTGACACCATTGTCAACATTATATTGTCTGGCTGAACTAGAATCTCCATCCTAATTTCAAATTCCTTGTAGAGATCAATTTATTTTCCCATCGTGGGTTGGATCCAATCTACTGTGGCAGTTTGGATGAAGGTTAAGGAAATCACATGGTACAAAAATGGTCTGTAAACCTATTCCCTCTACCAAGAGCGACAATGCGTCTCTTCCTCTTTTTTTAAACTTTTTGTTTTGAAATAACTATTAATTCACAGGAAGTTGCAAAAATATATACAGAGAGGTACCATGCAAGCTTTATACTTCCTCCCCCAGTGCTGACACCTTTCATAATTATAGTACAATATCAAACCCAGGAAATTGACCTTGGTAAGATGAACAGAGCTTATTCAGATGTGGCCATGTCTACATGCGTTTGTGTGTATGTAGAGTTCTATGCAATTATGTGACATATGTAGCTTTGCGTAACTACCATCTCTGTCAAGATACAGACATGTTCGATCAGCACANGTAGCTTTGCGTAACTACCATCTCTGTCAAGATACAGAGGCTTCCTCATACTATCCCTTTATAGCTGTAGCTAACCCCCTATCCCTAATCTGGTAACCACTAATCTGTTCTCCGTCCCTATAGTTTTGTTATTTCAAGAATGTTACATAAATAGAATCATACAGCAGGTAACTTTGTAAGATTGGCTTCCCCCCCCCACTGAGCCTAATTCCCTTGAGTTCCATCCATCGGAAGTTTGTTTTGCTGCATTGTGCTTTATGGATAGATATAGCACAATTTGCCAGTTTGTTTAACCATTAACCTTTTGAAGGACATTTGGTTTATCCCAGTTTTTAAAATCTATCATGAATAAAGTATCTATGAACATTCATGTGCAGATTTTTGCACGGATATAGGTTTTTATTTATCTGGGATAAATGCCCAAGAGTGCAATTGCTGGGTTGTATAATGTAGTGGGCAAAAAAATGGCCTTCCAAAGACGTCTATGCCCTCCTCCCTAGAATGTGTGAACATGTTGCTTTACATGGCAAAAGGGACTTTGTATATGTGAAAAAGTTACGGATCATGAGGAAGAGAGATTTTTCCTGGATTATCACTGTGGGCCCAAAGTAATCAAAAAGGTCATTTTGGGAGGGAGGCGAGAGGGTCAGAGTCAGAGATATTAGAAGATTCTACCCCACTGGCTTTGATGACAGAGAAAGGGACTGTGAGACAAAGGATGCAGAAGCTGGCCTCTAGAAGCTGGAAGGCTGAGAGGCAGATTCTCTCCGATAGTGCCCGGAAGAAACACAGCCCCATTGATACCTTGATTTTAACTCATAAAACCTGTTTCTTACTTCTGACATCCAGAAATATAGATAAAAAACTTGTGCTTTTTTAAGCCAGTAAATTTGTGGTAATTTGTTATAGCATCACTAGAAAACTTTATGTATATATATAGTAAGTAAATTTTTAGTTTTAGAAGACACTGCCAAACTATTTTTCAGAGTGGATATCTGTTTTTTAAGGATTTATGTATTTGAGTGGGAAAGTTGTCCATGGACAATTAGAGGCTTGTTCTAAAGACATAATTTGGGAGTGATTAATTCGTGTTTCGATTTCTGAGCTTGGATAGAACTCACCTGGAAGAGTACAGTTAAAGAGAGGGGGAAGAAAGTACTTGAGTTACAGGTACAGAGAGGATGAAGTTTTAAAAATATCTGAGTAGTAGCACTCTGTGAAAGACCAGGAGAGGGGCAAATCATGAAGCCAATATTAATGAAGTGCGCCAGTTAAGGACAATGGAAGGAGAGTAGACCTGGGAACGAGGGAGTCGTCGTCGTAATGAAGGGCAGTGGAATCTGGGCTAGATGACTAAGTTAGGAAAAGTTGAGATAAATGGGGTGAAAAATACTGAAGTGATGAGGTTGGTGGGTCAGTAGGCCCAGTGAAACTGGACAGTTAGAAGTTAGAGTGTGGGTATTAAAATAGGTGAGCTGCCGCTGTTGGTAAGAAAGGAGGCTGCTTGACATCAAGATTTGGACAGTAGTTTATGATGAGCTCAAGGTACGTGTGGTCATGGGAAACGCGGTGGAAAAGGCATCACAGGAATGGAGGCCAAGGAAGGAAGAGGCCGGGCGCATTGTTAAATACACGGTCCCTTTGGATATCGAAATGGTCAAGATGTCAAGAGTAGGGGGCATACAACAAAAGCCAGAGAGCCAGGTAGCAATGACTTGCCCAGCTGAGCGTAATCTCTTCCTCTTTAAACTTCCTTTTAAATTTTGTACTTCCTTACACTTCTCTTCTTATTCGTTGCCTTTTGGCTACTTGGCTTTTTTCCTCCTAGATTAGGCAATGGAAACAAGTTTGTTGCTATATCCTATAGCAGAAAGCACGTGTTTTCCCGTATGGTGAGGCAGCGAGTAGATTGTAAATGGTGACCCCAGGAAGCCCCTGTGTGACCGAGGGCAGAACCGTTTCGTTAAGGGCGAGGCTAGTTTGGAAGAGGCAGGAGAGTACAAAGCAACGGTTTACTTTTAAATGTAACCCTTTAGAGAAATCACACATCACATGACAAAGGTATATGGAAACAGTCAAAATTTATTTTAGAGGATATTTTTCAATTCTTTAGTATAAAAATAAACAGACATTCCAACACTTGTACTTTACATAAATTTAAATACAGTCGGAGGCACCAAAACATTCACATACACATTCCGAATTCCTGGGTTCGGACAGCAGATTGATGTTGTTAACTGCTCAGTTTTTAAATCAGGGAAGTTAACAGTTTTTTAATACAAACCCCTGCTAATATTGACTATTCCTTTTTTTAACCATTCACTTTTTAAATATAAAATCTTAAAGAAAAATTCCCCTGAGTTATTTCTCTTTAATGAAATTTCATCTTCTCCCTCTACCTAAGAGACATGCTTTTAATTATTTACATAAATATTAATGTTACCCATAATCAGTGCTTGATTAAAAATATTAAAATCTACAGTACTTTGCATAGAATGTCTCTTCAATAAGTTATGACAGAATGAATTAATGTAGTATCCACAGGTCCTTAAAAAAATGTATAAAAGCTCAGTCTTGTGGCACTTCCAGGCTAATGAGACACAATGTTCTCTGTGGGCTGGTGTACAGATAAACCTTAAAGACATAAATTCCAACCTTATATCTCGATGTACCAGAGATGGTTTCCTGAAAGTTAATTCACATCTTAACCCAATAATTTCTCTTGTGGTTTTCAAAATTCAAAGAGGTAATCCCAAAAAAGAGATAGAGAGGCTTCAACCCAGTTTATAACAATAATGTCCTAACAAAACATAAATAATAATCCTCAATAAATTAAGAAATGTACAGTACCAGAAAATGTCAGCTGACAATGAGATGCGGACAAGCAGCAGCATTATCTTCCTGCGAGCGGTCAGGAGTAGTTTGCTTTTGTTTTCAAAGGAAAAGGGCATTCATTGGAGTCGGAATATAATGCTCTTCTTGTCAAGAACCCCTCGCGGTTCTCTTTGTGGGCTTTTTCAGTTACACATCATTAAAATTAAATATAAATAAAGTTCTCTGTCTCCCACTTAAAACACAAGCACGCCTTCTCATCAAGGCCTTTTTTGAGAGCTTTTGCTTTCCTTTCTTTTTCGTAAGAGGAGCTAAATAGTAGTCCTGAGCTGAGGTTTTCCTGAAAACTTGCAAAAGTTTAGATCAGAAACTATAGTTAGAGTCCAATGAAAGATGAACTCAGATCTTGAAACCAGGGAAACAGAAGAAATAAACTGACCAGAAGAGCTTCTCTTCGCAAAAGGGCTAGAAGAAAATGAAAGGACCAGTGTGCAGGTAGCTGCTTCCAATGTAGCGTGGAAGAGACACTGGAAGTTCAGAAAGTGGAGGAAGAAATGTGCAGCATTTTGCCATCTGTAACAGCTCTGGTGCTCACTGTAACAGTCTAGACTGAAATTCAAGTAAAAAGATGTCACACGACAGCTGTTTTTCCCTTTAACTTCGAGAAAAGACACCTTTACATCAGCAACACAAAAATCTTCACAAGTGTAACCCCCTTTTCTCCTTAACAGATAAGCTGTTAAGTCGCATAAGGAGTTTAATATAAATATTAAATAATTAAAAAGCAATCATTTATATAAATAAATAAATATGATCAATAGGCTTCTACAGTTCAGCTGAGCGTCCCTTCAGGAGCACGGTCGGGCTGATATCGTCCAGTCTGGAGTGGGAGGGGCTGGCACTCATGGTGACTGTCTTGGCGGGGGCCGGGTTCTGAACACTGAACGAGGTGGAGGGGCAGCCTTTCACGTTATTGCAGATGAGAGACTGAATGGAGGCAGTGTTGATGATTTTAAAACCCACTTCTCCACCAAAAGTGCTGGGCTTCCAGTAGTGAGGAGAACATATGGGGTTGCCCATCAGTCCTTTCAAAGAGAAAGGAGCTCCGAGTTCTACCATGGTCTCACCAAAGATGGCATCGGGGCGAGGCTTTTCCACCAGAAGGGCAGGGTACAGCTCCATGGCGTCAATGTCACCATAGAGTGCTTCTAACTCCGCAGCCATTTCCTTCTCTCCTGTGAAGGCGACAGAGACACGACCAATGTAAAACTGCACCAAGTGCAAAAAATAGTTTTACCCCTTTGCTCAGTTTGCTTCCAACGCCTCTGTTGTTTGCATCTGGCCCTCTGAATCTTTTAGGAAGTTTAGAAACCCTTTCTCACCTGTAAGTTCTTCAAATGACTCATAGGGCTTCATCCGAAAGCGTTTTCGGTACTCATTAAGGGACTGGTATTTCATGTGCCTGCTGTGGTTGATTGAGGCCTTTGCTACGTATCGGACGGCAGCTGGAAGGTTCCGACCGCCAGCAACCTATGGGAAATGAATTACGTTAGAAAACAAATTCTTTAGGCATATTCACAATTTCTATTTTAAAAGCATCCCTTGGGCACAAAGTAAGTAAGACTGATGCTCCCAACTGAGGCTTAAACTATTCAAGTTTGAAATATAGAAAGTTTTTGAAGATATCTATATTTAAGGTATGGCTCCATATTGCCATTTGGTAACTAGACTAAAAGCTTTGACTTTTCAAAAAGAAAAAAAAGTTAGGTTTCTTATTTCAAGAAAGGAATTTTAGTAGCAAAACAATCGCTTTTTTAGTAAGTCTAAGAAAAATCATTTCTATGGCAGAAATCCCTAGTTATGACCAGTTCTCTGTTTTGTTTTTCAATAATGTTGCTCACCCTGCCAGCAATCTGCTTGCTGAATGATTCCACAAACTGGGTAAGCCCGTGTTCCATCAGTAAAGAGTTGTTGTAGACGAACTGCGGATAGCTGTACTCCTGGTCATCGATGTGGAAGGTGTCCGGCAGAAGGGGATGCCAGTGGTAGAGGGTATTAAACTCAGCAGCAATGCGGTTTTGGTACTGGAATTGTTGGTTGAAAAGCAGCTCTGGGTCAAACTTCAGTTTGAAGTGATAGCCACTCAAGTGCTGTACATAGTCTTCGATCACAATCTTAATAGTTTCTCCTATTGGCACAAAATATAAAATGTAGAACATCAATTCTTTCTGATCACAAACTTTCAAGCAACCAAAATGCAACCTGGTCCACTTGCTATCCCTTCACTTCCACTTTTCATTTTTGCCGTGGCTACACGAAAGGCAGGTCTATATGACAGTCCTGCTCGCGGTTGAGTTAACACGGAGCACATGATTTTATATTCACCCCATTCCCCCAGAATGCCTTAAAGCACGGCAAAGGTAACGAACTCGCTTTCCCCGGGGAAGACAGTTTTATTTACGGTATTTCTTACCTATCAGGATTAGCCTGCTGGTCTGGAAGAGCCGCTCATCATCCCACTCTGGGTGCTCCTGCTTAAGCACGTCGCACACTCTGTTGTGTTCTCGCAGCCAGATCGTGGCGTACATCATGAGACCAGGCACCAGGCCGAACACCTCCTGGCCCACAGCAAACCGCAGGTGCTCAGGGACGTGAGGCGGGTAGATCATCTCCACCTGAGTGTCCCTGACTGTGGGGGGATACACCTCTCCATCAATTAGCTAAAAAACAATGGCAATAAATAAACATTCATTTCAAAGTGAAGAAAACATTTCAATCAGACTTAAAAATATAGGTAAAGGGGTGAGTCATAACTAATTTTTAATATTCAAATGGGACAAACCTGGTATTTCATTTTCCCATCCTTGAAAAGGCGCAGTTTATGCTGTCTATCCAAAGTTTCACCATAAACATGATTTAAATCCACCTGGAAGATTTACAGAACAATTTCAATTTGCTGCTGTTGAAGCTGTTCTTATATAAAGCATCTGTGATATAACTTATCGTTAAATAATCTAATGACTTAGCTTGCTTCAATAAAAAATTCTCAAAACACTTTTTCATAACCACAAAATACTAAATTAATGTTTACCTACTGAAGCTACAAACCTATACATGTCTTTTGTGTTTAGAGGTATTAGTATTTCCTATATAGCTTATAAGTAGCTCATACACTTTGCCATAATTATATGGTTATTTCCTTTAAAAAGCATCAGAAATTTTATTATTGATATAAAATTCTGATTAATAAACTGAAATCCGAAAGGTAATAATGTTGCAAAAATTTCACCTTATAATATTTAAAGCAGCATAATCAGGGTACAAACATGTTTTCAAAGACATAACTTTTTGCAATGCTAATATTTTTAACTAAAAATATAAAAGCCAAATTATGATTGGTGTGTGTGTGTGTGTATTTTTACTGAACCAGTGCATTAAAATGAAAACTTTACTAAAGTTTTTATAGACAGGACCCTTTTTACAAAGAGGGTGAATTACTTGGTGTAGGAAATAAATGTGTGATCTTTAATGCTAGCACCTCACTATGATTCACTACATTTCTGATCTAGTTCTGTCTTACCCCATGGCCCAGTCCTTTAGTGAAAGCTGGTCCTCGCTTATGATCTGTCTTGAAGAACTGATGGGTGAAGTGCTGGGCAAAGAAGGCAAACATCAAATTTGTGCCCTGGGGGTCAGGAATAAACTTTCTTCTTATTATAAACTTATCCAAGAGCACTTCTGTATCAGGAAGCTCTTTCTTTCCTGAAAAATGAGAAAGCAAGAATCCATCTACATGTTCAAGAAAGCAGATAGTACTGTCAATTTACCAGAGCCTTCCTCGCTTATAGGAGAAATACACTTGTGACTAGAGTCATAATATAAACAACAGTTCTAAGACACTGGGAAACAACTTCTTATTCAATAATTTTATGTATTGTTTAACTAGTCTGAATTTAGTTAATTTTGATGAAAGAATTTGAAAACATTAAGACATAAATGATAATGTAGGGTCAAATTTTCTAAGGAGCAACCCAACCCCATTGCACTACATTTCTAACTGCCTCCTCACTCACCTTTCACACCCATGGGAGTTGGGCAGTCATCAGCCACAGGAGGAAGAACTCTGGTGTAATAGGAGAGGTTAGAAAAGGATTCCCAGCTTTTATAGCCATAGTGTGCATTGTAAGTCGGTGGGCTGTCAACCAAATGTGATCTGGCTGAAATTTTCAAGAAAAAAAAAATCTTGTTTAATTTGTTCCCATATGCAAGGCAAATCAATGTTCATTTCTTATTGTAAAGTGTGCAAAACAGCACCAAGGATTGAATTTAATTCCTACAATGATATCCTTTTAAAAACAATGACACTTTAAATTCTAACTGCCGCTTGTATTTACAAACAATGACTCATTAAAATGCATCTTTAATAAAGTACATATACTTTACACAAGACCAGATGGTCTACCATCTTGATTTTTCAAGGAACCATCCAAGAAGCTTGGAAAAGATACGCAGGACTATAAGCAAAATTCTGACTGTGAGACAAAACTTTATAAATTGGATGGGACTGAATGTCTCTATTTTTGGCCATTAAGATGGAAGGCAAGCTAAAAAGGCAGATTTAAAATATTTAAAATCATTCTGATAAGGTTGGAAATATGTTTCTGGATTAGGTTTGGTAATCGGAAGTAGTGTAAAAGGACATTTTTCTTTGAGGAAGCCGAGAACCTTAGAAAAAAAGAGAAGGTACTCACACGTCAACACGTATTTCATGATTGCATTTCTCAGGAAGGGAATGTTATTGACAATGTTCCAGACGCCCCTGAAGTGGGTGAGTATGTAGTGCACCGTGTTCGGCGTGGGTTTCAGGAATAACTTTATTCTTGTCAGAAATTCAGCTGCAATAAGAGGAAAAAAGGAGGATGAAATTAATGGGGCATATTACAAGAGGCAAATCTGCAAAATGACAACTATATACCCCTCTTCCCAACCAAGGCACCCAAGGGCAAACTTACGTGTTGAACAGTTTTCACCGTAGAATCCTGTCCGGGTACAGTCACACTGGTACTGGTCGAATCCAACACTCATACACACGCCTTGGTTTTGGCATGGGTTGGAACAGCAAGGATTTGCTACAATAAGAGTTAAAAATGATAAATAAGTTGTTCTTCGGTGTCTTAATCTTGACTTCGTTTCTCTGTCTTACTTACTATGGGTCAACTTTACAGTAGCAAATTCTAGGAATATACAGGTAGTCATGGGAAAACAGTTCTCTTAAACCTGCCTCACAATGGTTATAAGGTAGCAACACCAGCTTCCTATTCTAGGTACGGAAAATGGACTATTCAACCAAGAAGTCAGGTTGCTAAGCTTTTCCTTAGTAACTTTTCAGATGTTCAAATCAGCATTATTAAGCAGCTCACATAAGTAGCACTCTCAAATTTAAAATGGATCGATCTAGTAGAGCAACCAAAATTTAGGGCAAATTGCAAAGTCAAAACAGCTTACTTTTTAAAAAAGTATTTTGCTTATCTTAAAAAAAAATAACCTGGGCTTTCCTGAGGCAGGAAAGCACTCGCTAGGGTATGGAAAGAAAACAATGACTCCCACTCAGCAGCAGTGGGTACCACACACCAACATTTCACTTCTATCGACAACATCCCGCCCCGTCAAAACGGCAACCTGCAAGTTAGTAGCATTATCGCTATTCCGCAGACGGGAAAGGAGACGCGGACGGTTCAGTCACTGGCCCGCGATGCGCAGAGCGGGGCGCAAAGCTGGGGTGCGATCCAGTTCTCTGGGGCTCGAGTGGGCCAAGGTCCTAACAGAGCCTGCAGACTCCCCACTCCGAGAGTCTCCAGGCGAGGGGCCCCGGGGGGCGCGGGGCG